CATTGGTCTCAGCGCTGGTCCGCGCAGGATCTCCTCCCAGGGTCCAAAATATTTTGAGATTAATCTCAAAACATTTTGAGATTCATCTTTAAAATAATACATAATATATTTTTAAATTAAGCTCATAACATTTTGAGATTAATCTCATCATATTCTTAGATTAATCTCATAATTTTGCTAGTTCGACTTTATTATCATAATATTTCGACTTTTAAGTCAACATTTTATAACTTTATTCTCAGTCTGGGTGACTCTTTTGCTCCTTGTAAAGGCCTGTTGCTATTTCCTCTGCCGTCTGCACACGGCCCTGCAGTCCCTTATATGGGCATTAGTGGGCGGTTACTTATGCTAAGTACCTATGCTAATGAAGCACCTGGCACGCGCGCTGTATTTACGAGGAAATGGGATTCATCAATCTGAGAGAACAGCTGCGAACAATTCAGCGGCTTACGAGTGCGTTGATGAATCCCACGTGGGGACTTCTTAGAAATCTACTTAAGGACAACTTGAGAAGAAAGTTGAGTAGTTTCTTACGAAGTTATTCGTGAATGAGGCCCAATGATTTTAGCAGGTCTTCAACTTTATATAATATCATTAATAAATGTAACACATTGATTTGTATTCCTGAGTTGAATATAATGACATTAAGTAAATTTAAAATGTTTTTAGAGAGTCGCAAATATATTTATATTTTTCACGTTAGTTGGAAAGGATTAAATTGTATTTTGATCACCGGAAGTCCCCCACCCCCTCCCCCAACACACTTTCCCCTGAGTCCAATATCATCCGGCCAGCAGCTTAAAAGGGACGTTCATGTGCTTACAGGAACACCCTCTTCAAATACAGAAACGCCTCCTCGTTCTTAATTCGCTGCTGAACACATCCGATCTCATTCGGTTTTTCAAAATAAGATATTCAAAATAAGAACTATGTCAATGCTGTTCTTGATGATAGACAGTTCTTTTAAAATAAAGATATATCTATGGGTTTTACCGTCTACCGAGAAATGTTCCCTCCTGGTGGTACTCGTGAGCTACCGTCTTTACAGGTGCACAGTGGTCCACCGTATTATTTTTTAACTATCAATTTGATATTATTCATTACAACATTTAAGTGTGAAAACAAGATGGTTGCATTAATTACCGTAACCCTTGTGCTCCAGTTGCAAATGCCCTTTAAGCCATTTATCCCCAGAGAACAGATGGGCCAGGCGCATTACCAGCCCACTGCCATGGCCTGCCACTTCACATATCCTGTGTACAGGTATGATTGAGACCTCTGAAGTGATGCCCAGATCGTCTGCTGTTGACCTGTTAATATGTATGAGTGGACAATAGCGCTTCACAAGAGTCCTAAACATTTTGGAGACCCTGTTAAGGGACTCCAACATTGTTGTGTCACTTTCCAGGCTCAACCGAATTATTTTGTCCACAATTTCAGGAGGCAAGTGTGGCTTCATGTCCTCAGCAGCTGGCACGTCCCCTGATCCTCCAGGATAGCTGAGGGACAAATGAGCATATTGATTGACATGGTTTTAAGCACCACAAACTTCATCTGATATACCTCTCCACAGGGACTTTATGCAGATGTTTAGCACACCACCACCTTCTGATGGTTGGCATGTGTTCCTGTAAAGTTAAGTTCTTTAATAACTTAAAGGCAAAGTGCAAAATTTCTGAGTATTACATTATACAGTACCTGCTTAAAGATATACTTTGTATAATTATAGAAAACTCACTTCGCGAAAGTCATGAGGCATCTCCAGCGCTTCATACAAAGCATACTGAAATGAAAATAGGCTGCCAATTAGAATTATTCTACTGCAAAATCTCAATTAAAGCTACAAACTCGCCATCAGCATGAACACCCCACAGCTGTTGCTCAGATGCTGATGTGATGTGCCCTGTAAATAATATTAAGATCATCTGGTTAATAAACATCAAGTCATAGTGACAGGCACTTCAAATGTCAATCTTCGTAACCTGGGTCATACTACAAAAAACTAAATGGAATGCTTGAAAACTAAAGTCTCATATGCCGAAGACTTGCCTCATGATCAGACAAGAAGTAAACAGTTCATTCTTCTCGTGCTATAGCAAAAGCGATGGAACTGTAAAACAAACTAGCATTAGTTACTGGTATTGAAAATGTTAACCTGGGAGTATCACCAAATAGTTAAAATGCATGCATTGAACACAGGGAACATATGAACTCATCTTAAGTATAAAAAAAAAAAAATTAATAATGGAAGTATAGTCTAAAACAGAACTACCATACTCCCAACTCTGTTCAAGAAGCAATATTTGCAAAGTTACAGATTAATATTTCAAAAGATCTGAAACAAAAGAAATTGTGAGACTGGCATTTTATGCATTTGCAGAGGTGTCAGTTACACCTTTTGGTTGATAATAGGGATGTAAATCGGCGACCGGTTAACCGGTGGTTGACCGTCACAGCGTTAACCGGTCAAAGCTGTCGGTTAAAAAAGAGAAAAAGGGGAGAGGGGAGGTCTCTTAATAACGCTATTTTAAGCCCTATTTGCACGGTGTGACGAGCGGGTCTGTATCTAGCTGTGTGCGCCCATGTATTATAAACTCCGGGACGACTCTCACGCCGCACGCGCCACATATGCACACACGCACGCGCGCACACACACACACACACACACACACACACTTTCCCCCTCTCCATACGTAACATCCACACGCATCATCTCTCCCCTCTGTTACCGTCAAAGTTGCACACTGGCGCGGGTCAGAACTACATTGGAGCTTACATTTACACACACACACACACATATATACATATACACACACATACCGGTCTGTCGCGCTCCTCTGTGTCACGGAGCCCAAAGGATTCGCGCAAACACACGGCTCTAGTCAAACCACATGAAACATGTTTGTGTTTATGGTCCTCGGGATCAGCTCCACACACATCACTTGTATTTAAACTTTTGTGAAGACCTGTGAGACGCGGCTCGTCACTCGCTGCTCTGACCATGTGAACGAGCCGTCGTTTGCTGCTAGAAAGTTTTGGTATTAACCCGCAGCACAGCAGAATGGGAAGATTAAAAAAGCAGTTCTCTGTGCGCAAAGGTGCCGGAACTGTTGCGGGTTTGGGCGCCGCTGTCTCAGCTCTGATCCATTACGCTCAGCTGCACTTATGAAAAGTACGCGGCTCGAAATGGCTGTTATTTCAAAGAACGTGGACTATTTTAAACTACGCGGTTAACCGGTTTCAACCGGTTAATGAGGCTCGGTGGTCGGTCATGAAAATTCATAGTTTTTTACATCCCTAGTTGATAATTACTGCTTCAAGCCACAAGAGTTTTGCAAATGAACAAATGAACCAGCATTCTGATGTCTTAGAAAAACCTGAAAACATCTAGGTAGCGGCCATCTCCAAAGCCAGTAGGGTCATTGGAGTCATAAAAGGTCAGACTCCTCCGTTTTGGTTTGAGAACCTGTCACGTTTCATTTCATAGAGGAGCAAGACATTGTTGGTTAAGGACCCAAATCACAAACATTTATACTTTGAACTTCACAACATGGTTCTCATAACCACATGCGTAATGTTTAAATTGGTTAATCCATCTCTGGAAGAGAAAATGTATAATTTTTTACTATAAAACATGGGGAAATAAGGTCTATTCAGAGTTCTACAAGATTAGCACCGTGTAGCACTAAAGATAGCAATATTGAAATGTACTGTACCATAAAGAAATTAGGATGAGAGAAAAAATGAAACCTTTCACCCTTCTCTCAGACTTGTACACATTCACATGCAGACTTGTAAGAAGTACATTCTAAAAACAAGATTACTCACACACAAGGTCCAGTGCCCAGGTTGCCACGCGGGGAGGAAGACCACATCTTTGTTTGCAAAGTCACTCTGAAGAAACAACTTGTTTTACATAAAGTTAAGGGATACAAGGTGAAAGCTTTCTATTAAATAATTGCTCACAATCATTCCATCTGTGGGAGTGTCTGCATATGGTGGAAGCCAGGTCACCACCACATAAGCACTCATTGCCATGGTGGCTATGCCCTTTCAAACAAATGCATGACAGATTTGCTAACTGTAAATAAAACACTCCAAAAAATTACGATGAAATGTTCATCTTACTTTGGCATTTGCAATGTTGGCAATCTCATCGAAACACATATTTGCAATCTAAAACGGGCACAATGTGTTAACTCTTACTGCAACGTTAAATAGAGCATTGAAGATTTACCGTTGCTTCCACCTCTCTCTCCAAGCCCAGAGTCCAAAAGTCAGACCTTTTAACATCAACATAGTTGGCCAGGTGAAATGGCTCAACTGGGTCACCATCCTGGGCTAATACATAGTCCAACTATGGTGAAATACAGAAAAAAGATAGTGGTTTATTCCACAAAAAAATAATAATAAAGTTCCTGCCTTAAAATTAAGAACGACTTACCAATGCAGAGAGTCTCTCATGTATTGGTTCTTGCCAACATGGCACTGTGGATGAATGTTCAGAGGACTCAACCCCTGTGGTCATACGTGAGCCTAATTCAAATGAAGAGAGAATATAGAAATTGGCAGCATTATGTGCAAAATACGCATAGATTTAAAGTACTTGCGTTTTCTTGGTGGGGATGCATTTGAACCTTGGGCAGGCTCACTCATTGTAGTCAAAGAGGACAGATCAAAGTGCATTTGTCCCAACTTGCTGAGTGTAAGTGGGACTTCCTGAGACACAAGATGTTTCAATTCCTGTAGGATTGTCTTGTTTCGACGAACATTGTAATGGTGTATTATATTCCGCATCATGAACACATGTGCAGAAGGCAAATACATGTTCTATAATAATTGTTTTTTTTTCATGATCGAGAATAACTGTTCCGCAACTTGGCTGTTTATCTTTCCAACAAGTTCACTGACAAGCCCTATCTTGCGGAGGACATCAGTGGGATCTTTAGTGTTTTTTTCATGGAAGATGTCATAAAGGCAATAATGTTCTTGTGATCCCGTCACTGGATGCCCATTCGGGTCTGGGAGGTTTCTTCTTGGAAGTCAGCCAGGGTAAACTCAGAGTGCCCCCACTGGAAGCCCATTCAATGTTTTCAGGGCTGGGGTCAAGCAGTCTTCCCTCATGTGGGCTGAAAGGGACATTACTCGGCTCTCTGAGATTGGCATGTACAGCTAGGCCCCTTGCAAAGTCATATATGCAAATGTTTGGTAAATGTTTCCAAGAAAGCAATAAGTCAGTAAAGTCGCGTGGACTTTCTGCCCTAATATTGCATTTTATGGACAACACTTGTCCACATGGGCACATGATCACTGCCCAGCCTCCTGTGGTGCAAAAATACAATGTGAATAAGAAAAAAAGGACACAGTACCGTGTACAAGTTAATTACCTGATGCACCCCAAACTTTTTGAAATACTTTATCATATTTGCTTCTCGTCTCCATTTCCTTTCGCAAACGCATGATCAACTCCATTTTTGATCCTTTGGAATCTACTTTGCACTCAGTGCAGAGTTTCCGGATGGCATGAACCTATAATGCAAATTAGATTTACATAGTAAATATTACATTCAATCCTAGAAAAAGAACAAATGGACATAAATAATAAAAAAAAAAGTTAAACCTTCAAATTTGATATTTCATCTATCAGTCTGTCCTCAGTTATGTCCATCTCTGTGTACTCCTGCTGTTGCGTCGTTTTGTGGAGTTTTTCAGAAGCACCATTTTAGATGCACGAGTATGAGGTCCAATCCAAGGGGCCCAGTTGTGGTATGATGGTTTAACCAAGAATGGATTTTGCCTGTCACCTGAAAGATAAAAAAGCAGTAGAAAATGACATAGTATTATAAATAAAAGATATACTTGGGACAAAACCACGGGCAATTCTCTCCAAACATATAGAGCTCCAGAACTCCTCAATGTCTACCTTCCCATTGTAATCATCCGGTGGGTCTTCCAATTCACTGACTACAAATTAAACAAGAGTACAATTGATCTATTCCAAGAATCAGTCTTTGCATTTTTTTTTTACATAGCAAAAGCCTCTCACAAAGCTGGAATTAAATATTGGAAACGCCCATCTTCAATGCAGTCACTGACTGCAAATGTTTAACATAAGCATGTCAGCTGTCAATCTCAAATAATATGAGTGCACGTGAATTTGACCTACTAATATATACAGTAATTTATTGTCACTTACTAGCACTTTAGAGACCATGAAAACTTAACAATTTGTACGAAGAGCACATAGCGCTAATAGAAAACCATGAAAAGAGCACATAGCATTGCTTCTTTGAGCAGTGTGAACTATAGAAACTACAATTCCTTTCTTTTTTTGCATCCTTTGAATTGCGATCATTGAAAGATCATCACTATTTACACAGAACATAACACACTGACCTTACCTGCCAAACTGAAGACACAGCTCTTGTGCAAATCCATGACCACAACAGGTGGATAATAACCACAGCATGCACAGTGAAAATCATAACTATGGTCTGACAGTGCTTCAAAGTGAAGGTATGCATGAATAAGTGTGTTCTTGTTTGGATATTTCTGTCCTGAGGTCAGCTCCCACGTCTCAATTGCCCGCCCCAAAGCTGTATGTGTCTGAAATTGTGAAGATGACAAAAAACATTAATTGAATAGAACATTTCCCAAACTGCATGATTACCTGAAGACAGTTTCTGAGGTACAGACAAAAATGGATGGTCAGAATGATTCGATCATTGAAATTGTGTAGTCCATCCTCATACTCTTGATATCGTAACCTCAAACATCGCATTTTTTGAAGTATGTTGTCACACTTGAATAACAAAGAAATCAATACAACCATATATGAACAAATTTACATTATGGTAATATCACACTAACCTTCTATGGCTCCCTTGATTGTTATTATTTTTGCAGATTTTGTTATGACAATGGCGTCACAAAGAGGGACATTCAGGGCAAGTTTGTTCTTTTGGCTTTAAATGTCTTGGCAGTTCAGCCTCACTTGACAAGTCTGAAAACCATGAAGGAAATTCCCCAGGAAGCTTTTTGTTGGCATGAATATATTTGACCATTCTTTTTAAGTCCTCGCATTGCAGGGGATACATGTACGGGCCCTGCTCTGTACCATTTTCAGTTTCAGGGTCCTCTTCAGCCACGTCACTCTCATCAATGTCATCATTAACATTACTTGTGCAGTGATCTGTCATTGTTTGGAACAGGTGCCATTTTGCAATGCATTTGTGGATGCATGCCTGTTTTTTAGCTGTGCAATGGCAGTGCCAAGTATTTCTCACTGTGTCAAACATAACCATTATTCTGCCAAAGTGATTACTGTATGAAAGGAGGGGCTCATAGATTGAAACAAATTTTCTCCTTGCCGAACTTCTAACTTTAACATCAATACTGAGAGGAATGCACTTTTCTTTTGCCGCCGTTTGTTTCAGCAAACAAGACCTTTTTTTGTCCTCACTAAACCATTTACTGTCTACTATTTTTGTCAGGACATCGTTCTCAAGCTGAATATTGGAGATGAAGAGTGGTGGACAATACCTCAAAGACTGTATGTGAGCACATTCATAAGAAGTAAAGCCGCTTCTATGCATTACCTCTGTTTTGTGGTGACAGGCAACTGAAGAACAGCTGATTTGGTGGTTTGTGCCTGTGGTTTGTTTTTTTAACATGAATTGGTGCACTATTACTGTTGAATGACTTTGCAACAGCATATATGCCCAAGCTAATGTCCAGACATTGGCTTGGCAAGTCTCAACTTGAGATATCAAGATATCAACTCTGATATCTTCCTTAGCAATGGGGTGCTGGCGCATCATATGCTGTTTTAAGTACTTACTGTTCAAGTCAACATTACAAATGGTGCACTGTACCCTCTTCAAATTAGTGGAATTGCGAGTTCTGGGTTGTGGCGGCTGGTTCTGGGGCAGAGGCGGCTGGTTCTGGGGCAGAGGCAGCTGGTTGTGGGGCAGAGCGGGCAGAGGCAGCTGGTTGTGGGGCAGAGCGGGCAGAGGCAGCTGGTCGTGGGGCAGAGCGGGCAGAGGCAGCTGGTCGTGGGGCAGAGCGGGCAGAGGCAGCTGGTTCTGGGGCAGAGGCAGCTGGTTGTGGGGCAGAGGCAGCTGGTCGTGGGGCAGAGCGGGCAGAGGCAGCTGGTTGTGGGGCAGAGCGGGCAGAGGCAGCTGGTTGTGGGGCAGAGCGGGCAGAGGCAGCTGGTTGTGGGGCAGAGGCGGCTGGTCCTGTGGCAAAGGCGGCTGGTTCTGGGGCAGAGTGGGCAGTGGTGGCTGGTTCTGGGACAGGCAGGTATTAAGGTGTTTTAGGATTGCCTTTCTCCTCGGAAATGTATTTGAACAGAAACAGCAGTGGAAGTGAGAACCACCTCTGTAGCCCCAGTTGCACATATAAATGGCAACGTCTGTAGGAAAAATATATGCATTCATTACTCATAGTTCTTCTAGTAAACAATATAGAAAACATTTCATGTATAGTTTGAAAATTTGATGTCATATGCAAAGCATTTTGAGATAAGCAGTACTGCAGGGCTGCTCTGTGCACCTTTTTAGTAAACTTTTAACAACTTTTTAGCGCGTTTTTATTGTTCAGTTTTTTAATATATCTGAGTGTTTTATCTTTTTAATTCAGTGGTTTCAGCAAATAGCACTTAGTCCCGACTGAAACCCACTAGTAGCACAGAGGCTAACACAAGCTAACGAGGACATGGAAAGTGACAATGAAATTGGCTCAAACATGCACAATATTAGTCGCCTCACCTTGGAGCTCCGTGAGAGCGACCGTGCCACCATTGCAGATCTACGAAAAGAAGTCCTTCGTCTCACCGCAGAGTTGAATGAGAAACAATCTCTAGTATCCAAACTTTTTGAAGTCGCTGGTGGGCAGCATTCACGGCTTATGTCACTGAGCGCTGCATATTGTGACACTGTCGTGTGGGAGAGATCCGTCAGCTCCGGACCCTCCTGTTCTACACCTAAGCGCCCGCTTCCGAATAACGAGCCCGCGGATTCCGAGGAGCCATCCTGCGCCGTGGCCCATGTCCTGAGTCTGGCAAACCGCTATGCAGCCCTCTCCACTGACATCCCGGCCCCCTCAGCAGAATCCCTGGACACTGCAGCGTACTCTACTGCTCGAGGATCCAAGTCCACTACGAGGAAAACGCTCCTAAAGGAAGCAGTCCTCAGGCGAAAGAGCGGTCCACCAGCCATGTTGGCCTGTTCCCCCTCTTTGACCCCAGTGCAGCAGCCTCAGACTGGGGTAGCGAGCCATCATCACCACCGCTCACCTCCACCGGGTCAGCAGCAGCGCCCAGAGCCAGCCCCTCTCACACCGCTCCAGCGTCCCCGAGCACACAGCGTGGGTCGCCTGTAGCTGAGAGTCAGCACCCCCGCTCCTCCTCTCCATGTGTTCAGCGGCGCTCAGGCTCGGGTCCTGCTTCGGGTGAACCCGCTGGTTCCGTCCACCGAGCTCCTTCTCCGAGGCCACTCTTCGCCCCGACCACTCTGATTATTGGAGATTCCATCGTGAGACACGTCCGCTTCTTTAACGCGGTCACTCGCTGTATTCCCGGAGCTACTGTACCAGACCTGCTCATACGTCTCCCTCCTCTGCTTCAGTCCCTGCCTGATACCGTTTCCAAGGTAGTCGTGCATGTGGGAATTAACGACATGAAACTTCAGCAGTCAGAAGTCACGAAGAAACATTTTATGGATCTGTTCCACCTCCTTCAATCCTCCGGACTATCTGTTTTTATTTCTGGTCCAATCCAGACTGTAAACAGAGGTGACTGCCTCTACAGTCGTGTTGTGGCGCTGCATATGTGGATCCAGGCTACATGCAGCTCTTTTAACTTTGTCTTTGTGAATAACTTTGCCCTTTTCTGGAAACGTAACGAAGCCTATCGTCCAGACGGATTACACCCAAACAGATACGGTAGCAGCCTGTTGATGGATTACATACGTTATGTTGTTCAGCGTTCCCCGAGGGGGGCGTGACTGTTTACATCTGAGCCCCCTCGGACCCCACCGCACTCCCCCGCCTCCTGCTCACCAGCACCGGGTGAGTACAACGGTGCAAACACTGCTCCCTGTCCGTCTGGCAGTGCATTACCAGTCCAAACACTGAACTGTGCTGACTCCCTTCTGACTCTGGGAGCTAAAGAACAACAAGGGTTTTCACATTTTAGGCCAATTGAGACTGTGTGTGTTCCTCGCACCAGCTCAAAAATGTTTTTAAATTCTAAAAAACGAAATCAAAACAGGACAGCAGTTAGACGGTCCAACTCTGCAAATCTAATTTCTGTTCCCTGTAGAAATCAATCAACCACATTAATCGACTCTGACGTTATTTTTAAACTTGCTATGCTTAATGTCAGATCTCTATGTAACAAATCATTTTTAATTAATAATTTTATCACTTCTTATGATCTTGATTTTATGCTTATGGCTGAAACATGGCTGGACCAAAATACAGGAAATGCAGTTCTAATAGAAGCAACACCACCCAATTTTAAATTCGAATCCGAAATACGAGAAAACAAAAGGGGGGGAGGCATAGCTGCAGTTTTTAGAGAGCACTTTGTCTCCCATAGAATGCCCCTTGGAAATTTTTCATCGTTTGAGTATATTTCTTTTAAAGTGGAACAAAAGCAATCTTCTACTCTTTTCATTGTCCTGTACAGGCCACCACAGTCATGTTGCGATTTTATTGACCATTTTACTGAACTACTTTCATTCGTGTGCACAGACTTTGATAGTTTAGTTATTACAGGTGATTTTAATGTACATGTTGATAATGTTGATGACAGAAATGCAAAGGAGCTGGCTTCTGTATTTGAGACCTTTGGTTTCATTCAGCACGTGAGTGGCCCCACCCACAGCAGGGGGCACACTCTTGACCTGCTAATTACAAAGGGGGTTAATGTATCAAATGTTAATGTAGTTGATGTTGCTTTGTCAGATCATTTCTGTGTATTTTTTGACATGTGTTTTGCTAGCAAACCACCAGCTGAATTTACAACTGTTAGAAGAAGACACATACATGAAAACACAGGTGAACTGTTCATGGGAATGCTAAATTTTGAGAAAACTCCATGCTCTACTGTTGGATGAATTGTATAACTCTGTCACCACCAGTGTTCTGACTGTTCTGGACGCCATTGCTCCTGTGACGGTTAAAATAGTTACCAGTAAGAAAAAGGCCCCATGGACTAAGGCAGACTCGGTTAGGGCACAGAAGCAAGAGTGCCGGAGGGCCGAACGGAAGTGGCGAAAGTCCAATTTCCAGGGCGATTATGAAATCTTTAAAGATGAGTTGGGTGAATTTAACCGGGTTCTACGTAGAACAAGAGAAATGTATTTTTCTGACATTATTGGAGGTTGCAGTAACAATTTTCGTGTTATGTTTTCAACAGTTGGTAGATTAACGAACCCCCCTGTAAAGTTGCCCCTAGAATTTTCCTCTAAATCTAGGTGTAATGAGTTCGCACAGTTTTTCGATGACAAAGTACAAGGAATCAAAAACACTATCACCTCCACAGCACGTATAACAATGCAACAGCCAGAGAAGCTTTCTGAGCTAACTCACTTTGCACCTGTGGATACTGAAACTGTCAAAAAGATAATCATGAGTCTGAGCTCCTCCACATGTAGCCTGGATATATTGCCCTCTAAATTTCTGAAGTCCGTCCTGAGCAGTTTGTTACCTTCACTGACACAAATAGTAAACATGTCTCTGTCGTCAGGAACATTTCCTATGGCCCTAAAAACAGCAGTCATAAGACCTCTCCTAAAAAAGAGCAGTCTGGATCCTGCGGGACTTCAAAATTATCGCCCCATATCGAATCTGCCATTTATTGGAAAAATTCTTGAAAAAGTGGCCTCCCAACAACTTACTGAATTTTTAACAATGAATAATTCTTTTGATATGTTCCAGTCTGGGTTTAGACCCCACCACAGCACTGAGACCGCTCTAGTGAAGGTAACAAACGACATTCGACTTTACACTGATGCAGGTAAAGTCACAGTTTTGGTCATGTTAGATCTTAGTGCCGCGTTCGACACTGTCGACCGTCGACCATGAGATCCTCATGCAGAGACTGGAGGACTGGGCTGGTGTCACTGGCACAGCCCTAGACTGGTTTAGGTCTTACCTAGAGGATAGGAAGTACTGTGTGGAGATTGGAGACTGCGTCTCAGATGATGTGGCCCTGACCTGTGGTGTACCACAGGGGTCGATCCTGGGACCTCTCCTATTTAATCTCTACATGCTGCTTCACTGTATCCAACAGATCAGTGACTGGATGCAAAATAATTTCCTCCAGCTAAATACAGACAAAACCGAAATCATTGTCTTTGGTCCCCAGAAACAAAGAGAGGGCGTCATTTGTCAACTTCAGTCTCTCTCCCTACTTCCTTCAGACAAGGTCAGAAATTTGGGGGTAATACTGGACTCAGACCTAAATTTCAATAGCCACATAAAATCAATAACATCAACAGCTTTTTACCATCTGAAGAACATTGCCAAAGTTAGAAATATAGTGTCCAGGGCAGACTTGGAGATTCTTGTCCATGCATTTGTCTCCAGCAGGCTAGACTACTGCAATGGCCTGCTTACAGGTCTGTCCAAACAGACCTGTAAGCAGCTGCAGTACATCCAAAATGCAGCAGCTAGAGTCCTGACAGGAACCAGGAAGTATGACCATATTAGTCCGGTCCTCAGGTCTCTGCACTGGCTTCCTGTGGCTCAAAGAATAGATTTTAAAACGGCTCTGCTTGTGTACAAGTCTCTCCATGGCCTTGCACCAGAATACATTAGTGACATGTTGGTGTCATATGAACCAGCCCGGACTCTGAGGAGCACAGGGACTGGCCTCCTGCTGGTGCCCAGAGTGAGAACCAAACATGGGGAGGCTGCGTTTCAGATCCATGCAGCTAAGATCTGGAACAATCTCCCTGAAAATGTGAGGGAGGCGTCTACTCTGTCAATGTTCAAATCCAGGTTAAAGACTGTTCTGTTTGCCTGTGCATACAACTGAAGGATTTTATCTCCATTTTTAATGCACTGCTGTCATTTATTTATTTTTTTAAATTTCTTGTGTAATTTTGAAAGTTTTAATGGTTTTATTCTTTTGTGTGATTTTAATGTTTTAATTGTGTTTTAATCTTTTGTGTGATTTTAATGTTTTAATTGTGATTCTGGTGTTTGTTTTATGTGATGATTTGTGATGTGGACTGTGAAGCGCTTTGTGTTGCCATGTGTATGAAAGGCGCTCTACAAATAAACTTTGATTGATTGATTGATTGATCAGTAGAAACGTTTTTCACATAAGAGTTTTAAAATTTAAGAATAACTTTTCATTACATGTATTGGCAATTTTACTTTATAAATAAAATTTTCTAGTGGCCAACATGAAACTAAATCAAATAATGGGCCCTAAATAGCAATAGTTTTAATGACCAGATTCATGTTAGTGAAAAAAAGTGACAAAATAATCATTCTCGATCAACTTAACATAATATTAATTTACTACATGTGATATATTATAGCTTTTGCATCATCATCTTCAAAAGTAGTAATAACCAAGCAAATACATCATACCTCCGTAACGTACCACAGTCTTCTGGTGGCTTTGTATATGCACTTCCACCCTCGCAAAATCCCCCTTATAATTCGGACAAAAGGGACAGTGCAGTAGAGGGCACTTGGGGTCGGAGCATCGTTCCGCTGCGACTGCGAATATTGACAAATGATCCTTAAAACAAAAGAACCGTATGAATTATGATCATGCTAC